AGCAGAGGTGCGTTCTCCGAAGCACAATTAAGCGAGATTGCCATGGGTTTGGAGAGAAGCAAACAGAGATTCTTGTGGGTCGTGAGAAGCCCTCCGGGTTCGAGCTCGGTAGAGCCGGATCTGGAGATTCTGCTACCCAAAGAGTTCTTGGAGAGGACCAAAAACAGAGGCCTGGTAGTGAAGTCGTGGGCTCCACAAGCTGCTATTTTGCGCCATGGATGTGTAGGTGGGTTTGTGACTCATTGTGGGTGGAATTCAGTGCTTGAAGCAGTGACCTACGGGGTGCCAATGGCGGCGTGGCCCTTGTATGCAGAGCAGGCGGTGAATGGTGTTGTTTTGGTGGAGGAGATGAAGCTGGGGATACCAGTTGAGTCAAAAGAAGGGTTTGTGAGTGCAGATGAAGTGGAGAAGAAGGTGTCGCTGTTGATGGATGAGAAAAGTTTGAGAGAACGAAGCCAAGCTATTAAAGCAATGGCTTTGGCTGCCTGGAACAACGGTGGGTCTTCGTTCACTAGTTTTTCTAAGATGGTAACTTCTTGGAAGCAATAGTAGTGCCACGTTCTGTTTGATTGAATTTTTTTTTTTGGTCAACTTCTGTTTGATTGATTGACCATAGCACTTGTGCAATTTTCTGGTTTTATGTTACTCAAACTCATCAATAACTTTTCTTCAAGGATAGGCGGGTTAGGACTCAAGTTCGAGTCTCTCTTCTTGTAAATTAGATTAAGTAATTTAGATTATAACTTGTTTTTATAAAATAAATATTCTTCAAAAAGTACCCAAATTTTAGGAGTAGTTTCAAATTAGTACCAAACTTTTAAATGACTATGTGGCAAACGTAGGCCAATCTTTGTGTTGATGTGGACTTAAAAAGTTAATAAAAACCAAATTACATTTTGAAATAATTAAAACAAATTAAAAGTACAATTTATAAATATTATAAATTAAAAAAATGCAAATAAATAAAAACACAGCCCACTGTGCCTCCAACACGACCTCATCCCCATCTTAGCCTCAACCCTAGCCACCTCTCCCCATCTCATCCCCACCATAAGAGCATTTCCACCAGTTAGCCCCTTGCCATGGCAAGGGGAGCCCTAGGGTAGTTACTATTCACGTGAATTGTGGCTGCCCTACCTCCCCCCAGCAAATGTGTGTTTCCAGCAGTTAGCCCCTTGCCATGGCAAATACTATTCATTTTTTTGTTTTTTTCACAACTTTGTTTATTTAAACAATTAATTTGGATAATATTTTCGGATAAGCTTTTTGGGTTCCTACGTGTCAATACTATTCATATCGGATAAGATTTTCGGTTTCAAATTTCAGATAAATTTCAGATAAATTTCAAATTTGAGATACATTTCAAAATTCAAATTTGAGATAAATTTAAAATTTGAATTTCATATACATTTCGAAATTCAAATTCCAGATACATTTCCAATTCCAAATTTCATTTGAATTTCAAATTTCAGATAAGATTTTCATCCTCTAAAATTGCGCCACGTGTCATCTCTATCTGTCTAAATTTTTCTATAAAACCAGAGGCTCAGCTCATACCTCCCACACCATATCTTCTCTGCATCTTCATTTCTCATATTTTAGATTTCATTTCTCTCAGATTTTAGATTTCATTCTCCATTCTCAATGTCAGACATGGAAGATGTTTTGGATAGGCAAGAGCGAGAAAGGCGAGCAAGAATGCGCAGAAGAGCTGCAAGCAAAAGGGCGCAGAGAGAACTAGATGAGCAACTTGGTGTGGCCGTTGCTTTGATGGAGGAAGAAAACCAGAGCCGTCGTGGTTCACGAGAAGGCCGGGCATCGAATGTGGACAGACATAGACATTCTCAGGGTAAGAATCTTCTGGAAGATTATTTTATCCCACAAA